GGACTTCGAGGATAAACTGTGATATTTAGTAGTATATTCACAACATGAGTGTTGTGAATATACTCATGGAGGAAAGAGGCAGAAAAGGAAGTGTTAAGAAATCCCATAGTTTGGAGCACTTCCCTCGCATGTGATATGTGATGTTTTTGTGTGCCTAGTCGCTCTATGGAAGGATGCACCTGAGATAATAGGTGAGATGGATTTATCCAAAAGACCCTGGGAAAGGAGTTTAGAATTGAGAGAATATAAGGCAGTATGGATCCAGAGACCTCTTGGCAAGATTGTTAACTCAGCAAAGGCTTGTCTTAGGTTTGAGATTGAGTGTAGAGCTGGTTCCTTTGATTTTTATTTTTATTTTTTAATTAGGCCATGAGCACTGTTTTGCAGCCCTCCCAGATGCATATTGTGGCCAAAATAGAAACCCTCCCAGATTAGCAGCTCAGGGATACTTTGCCATGTTAATGAGACATGAAGGACCATGAAAGGCAACCTTCTGTTGAAAATCCTGTGTCCTGCACGTTGAGTGAATGGGAGCAGCCACGGCATCCTTGTGTCCATTAGCCCAGTGACATACTCAGGAATGAATCAGTGGGGAGAAAACTGTCATAGGTTCTGGTGGACAATTTGTACCCATTGCAAATCAGAATAGCTCTTTGACCTGTTTTGGGGCTTGACTCATGCCAGGAGGAGACCTTTCTCTCCAGTTTCCCAACTGCTTTCTGGGCTCATTTGTTTTCCTTACAGTGGTGGTTCATGCTGCATGGACTGCAAGGAGAGACACATCTCTGCCTTGCCACCCCTCCTGCTCCTGGAGACCACCACTGCCACAAACCCCTCCTTGAAGAGGTTAACCAAATGGCTGTCCTGGATTCATCGTGGGATGGGGCTGGTAGGAAGTGGAGTGGGGTGCAGTGCCAAACCATGACGTGTGTGCTCTTTCCGTTGGGAACACTGACTCATGAAACAGAGTAAAAAGCTGTTACATTTCCACATGATGAAAAATGGGCCCCAGTCTCGTCTCTCATGTGTGCTCACACAGTCTCTGTCCAGTGAATACTTTCCCTGTTGTAGCCTGTGAAACCTGGCTCCCATTGGTAGAAATTCAGTTTATTTCAGCTGAGAAGAATTGGGTGTCACCTTGGATGGGCCTTCTTCTCACCCACAGTCAGGCCAAGCAGTGGACTTGTGACTTTCTAAATACAGTCCAGGTTACTTATTCTCTGTTAGTCTAATTCAGCTGAGAAGAGCTTGGCAATGTCTCCCTTTGGTTGTTCTGTCAGCTGGTTGCATTGCTGATCAGTTATCCAAGGTATGCTTGGTAGAAAATAGAGAAGGAAGCACTTCCAATAACTATGGTTCCCACTTCTGTTTCAAATCCAGAGTGTAAGATACCAACAGGAGAAGTAGATCAGACAATTAGAGGCGAGGAAGCTTAGGAGAGGATGTGAATATTCTCACTGTGTCCAGCAGAAGGTGCAATAGTTAAGGACTGGACTTTATTGCATGATGTGTTACAAAGTGATTGCGATGTGGTGTTAGACTAGTGCAGTTTTCTTCATAAGTAGATAAACTTTAGGCAAAACCCACTCAAACCTCTAATTATTACAACTATGAATGGGGGTACACAGTTAAGTTGCAGTTTAGATTACTGTGACTATTGTACCATGGTCTCAAACTATCTGAGATTTCTGAAAATGCCTCTTTATTTGCCTGAAAGGAACAAATGCAGTATAATTCGAATGGAGTGGCAGAGCTTGAACTGCCTGTGGGAGCAGTGGCATAGTAGGAGTAGAAGGTAAACAAACTGTCAAGAAGTGTTAAATTGGACTCAGTGATCCTTGTGGGTCTCTTCCAACTCAGGGTATTCTACAATTCTATGACTAAGAAAGAATGAGAAATGTTTTGCTTTACACTGGGGCTCAGACACAGCTGGAGGAATCACTGCTGCTCTTGCACACCCTCACAGTTGATAATTGTGTGAGCTGTACCTCAGCCAAAGCCTGTTCCTGATGTTTTGTGCAGCCTGGGCACGGATGCTCAGCTACTGTGGTTTTGCTGGTGGGGAGGTAAGTTGTTGGGACAGTGGAACCTGATCGTTTGGCCACTGAATATTAGGATGTTCTGGGTGATGCCACATTGATGAGTTAGAAGCATGACCTAGTTATACAGCAGCTAACTAGCTGGAATCTTGAAGTCTGGCTACTGTCTGTCAGAAGATTTCATGTCAGGAATAACTCCACAGGTTCAGACTCACAGAGAAGGCTTTCATGCTTCCAGAGATGCTGGGTTCATAGAGTTCTAGAATGGCCTGGATTGGAAAGGATCTTAAAGACTATATAATTTCAACCCCCTACCATGGGCAGGGACACCTTCCACTAGACCAAGTTCCTCTGAGCCCCATTCAACCTGGCTTTGAACACTTCTAGGAATGGGGCAGCCACAGCTTTTTGGGACAACCTGGGCCAGGGCCTCCCCACCCTCACAGCCAACAATTCCTTCCCAATATCCCATCTCTCCCCGCCCTCTGGCACTGGGAAGCCATTCCCCCTTGTCCTGTCCCTCCATCCCTTGTCCCCAGTCCCTCTCCAGCTCTCCTGGAGCCCCTTTAGGCCCTGGAAGGGCTCTCAGGTCTCCCTGGAGCCTTCTCTTCTCCAGGGGAACCCCCCCAGCTCTCCCAGCCTGGCTCCAGAGCAGAGGGGCTCCAGCCCTGGGAGCATCTTGGTGCCTCCTCTGGACTCTCTCCAGCAGCTCCATGTCCCTGTGCTGTTGTTCCCCAGGGCTGGAGGCAGCTCTGCAGGGGGGTCTCAGCTGAGGGGGCAGAATCTCCCCCTGCCCTGCTGCCCACACTCTGCTTGTGTCAGCTATGGGATATGGACAGGAGGCAGGACAAAGTCCTTCCTTGTCTGGATCCATATTATCAGTGGCAATCATGTGGATGCTTCATTTTGTGCTGTTGGCTCTCATCACCAGCTGCCTGAGTGCATTTTGGGTATATTATGAGCTAATGGGTGTCTAATCTAGGTGTTGTAAAGATGGCATTGCTGTTGTGGAAAGACTTATTCTTTCAAGCATTAGATTCCATGATTTGTTTTGTTAGGGGAAATTCTGCTCTTCTACCCTCCATTGGCATGTATGGGAAAGGTTACAGTTCCTTGGTGACTATTGGACTTCTCTCAATGTCCTGCTTGGGCCACTAAATTCAATTTTAGTGAGTTTAAGTTGTCCCAGTGAAAAAATTCTTGTTGCTTGGACTTGGCTCACTTTAACCAGTGGGGTTTTCATGCAGTCTAGGAATGCATCCTTACTTTTCAGTTCAGTGTTCTGGATACACAGTGGTGTGAATTTCTGGAGGCAGGGTGGTTTTCTGCTCACATGGGAACAAAGTTAAGAGCCAGGAACTCTGTTTAAATCCTTTTGTTATCAGCAAAATGCACTGTGGCCTTTGGCATCTCCTAATTCAACTTCTCTGCAAACTGATAGATACTTATGGTAGTTATGGTACCTACCATCTGTGGGAATGTGGAGGATCCTGGAGAAGTATGTGGCCTCTTTAAATCTGTGAAGTGATACATCTGCTGAGTATTAATGGTTTGTTAAATTTATTGAGCACTTTGGGACTGTTGAATGAAAGACCTTATATAAAAGGCACTTAATTATTGTTATTGCTTGAGAAGGGCTTGCACAAAAGCAGCAGTTATCTGGGAATCTGTGAAACAAAGGTCTGCAGTGTGCTGCCAACTGTGCTACCACTTAAAATTTACAACATGAGGCACTAATTTGGGGACACAGGGAGGAGAGGTTCAGCAGTCACTGAGTTGTGGCAGTCCTTTGGTCAGGCTGGTCACATGCTGAATATATTCTGTCCACCTTATTCTGTGGGAAGTACTCTGCCCTGGTAGGACTGTCGCGGGGATCGTGTGATACTCTTTTTACAAATCTACTTTAAACACTCCTGTCTCCTTCCTCACAGGCCTCACAGAATTGAGCAGAAATGTGCATTGATGTTTTTCATTCATGACCTCAAGCGTCCTCACAAACACGGGCAGGACTGTACTGCAGAGCACAGAGCAAAGTTTTCCAAGGCAGGTAACGAAACTTTCTATTTCTAGGAGCTCTCACAGCCCCTTAAAGCTCTTGGGTCTCAGCATGTGGAAAAATCCATTAGTGTGTGGTGTTTGGCTCTGGCTTTGCTTTGCTTCTGGAGCGGTGGGAAGCTCAACCGCTCAATTTGAAGAGAAACTGGGAGCTTTGCAACACCAGTCTACTGTGAGTCATCCATCCAGTGGCTTCAGAGGAGAGAGGATTAAACCTTCTACCCCCAAGGTTGATTGCCAGTGACTGTGGCAGTCTTAGTAGGCCCGTTTCCTAGCAATTTTATGGGTACTATGATGAATTCACTGGCAAGCTTATTCTCGCCTTTCTGTGGTGTAACAACAGCAGAGGGAACAGGGCAGGGAGATGAGATTTATTTAATGCTTCTATTTATGTTCATATTTTGGACCAATAAACTGCCAAGTGCCTTATGACCAGCAGGTTTGCTCACAGTCACGAGGAGCAGGTGGTGGTGGCTGCTGAAGTTTTGTGTCTTGACTGAACTAAATTCTTCCCCAGCACTTAAATGGATCACTTAGCCATTCTGAGTATATTCAGCTAAAAACAAAGCCCATAATTCATTAAAGAAGGTGCCACTGCTCTCTTTATCCTACTAGTTAAATATTATCCTGGGATATGGAAGCTTCCAAATCTTGTTTTGATAGCTATTTTTGGCTTTTTATATTGTATACAACCAGGAGCTGTGGAAAGAGGCCCAGGACAGAATCTCAGATGTGTGAGCAGCCCTTCTAGGACACACAGGATCCAGCTGGAGGTTTTGCTTGTGTCAGGTTGAGGAGGAGTTTGCTTTTTGGAGGTCTCCCATGTCACACAGACCTCTGAATTACAAGGGCATGAGAAGGAAAGGCTCCACCTCCATCCCTTCTCTGCTCTCTCCACCAGCATTGAATTCCATCTGCTGTATTTGAGCCATCCGTGGTCATAATGGTATTTCAACTCTACTTTATACATAAATACTTTATTATTCAGCAAACCCTTTTGTCAGTGGTTGGGAAGAAACAAAAAAAGGTTCTTTTTCTGAGATCTTTCTTCTGGCTTTAGCAGCTCATCTACAAATGGAAGCAAACAAGAGAAGCAATGAATAAGTACTTTTACTCCTGTTTGATCTTCCCTGCCCTTAGGACATTTTTGCTGCTCTTTCCACCCCACAGAGATGAATGTTTCCTCCAGCAACTGCCCACCCACAAATCTATACCCACATAGGCCTGTGGTTGCTCAGCACACTTGCATTAGTAATACTTTGGCTAAGAGTAGTGTCCTGTCCTCAGACACAGCTGTGATTGCTCTTGCACTTGCTTTGCCAGAGTACCAGGAAGGAAAATTTTCTCCACAGCAGCCCTTGATGGCTCAGGAGAGAGTGGTACCATCCCCTTTTCTTGGAATGCCAGAGATCAGTTGGTTCCCAGATAATTTCATGGTGACAGGAGCTGTAATTTCCGTAGATGAATCTATGGTTTTTGGTTTTGACTGTAAGTCTGTGGCTTTCCCACTTGTGGGCTGGACTGGAAGAGTGGAAATGTTAATTTGAGCGTGGAAGGTTAGTCCTTTTGCCAGTGGCTGAAGAGAATGGAACTTGGTACTTGTGCATGGATGTGAACTCTTGTTTTGCAGGAATCTTGTTTCTTTGTAGAGCAACAGGTACATATTTCCTTTCCAAGGCAGGCAAGAGAACTTTGCACTTCTGATTTGTCTGTATTTTGCCTACACTTTGAGATCTGACTACATCTGAAACCATGCTAAGTAGTGCATCCAAACTGTTTGGTTTCACTGCTTTGTGTTCTGTTCTGTAAAGCTATTAATGCTTAAAGGGGTAACTGCCATAGTTAATAAGGAAACTGATTTTTTTTTTTTTTTTTGCCTAGTCTTGAAGTTTCCTTTTAGGAACAATTAACACTGCCTCCTGATATTTTAACTTGAGCATTGCTTTTGATACTTTTCTAATCAAACAAGGTCTTAAGTAAGTATTATTGGTCCCTTGTGGTTTAGGAACAGTTAAGTCAGGACATCAAAGACCGAAAAACAGAAAATTCCTTTTTCTGCCTCTTCTGTTTCTAGACCTTTTGGGCTTGTTAGTTCCTATTCCCCAGGCCTTCCTGAAATTTGTTCTTTTTTTCAACAAAATGATTCCCAGAGCAGCATTTTGAATAAAATATTGGCTATTCCAAGAGTTGACAATGTTGATTATGTGGGGCATTGCTGGTTTGTTCTCTGTACCAGTTTTAAACATTTCACTGGTCTTGAATATTGCTGAGAGTCTGATTAAAATATTGATGTGCTCATCCTCAAGTTGTCTTCACAAGAGGAGAGTACTTGGGCTGGATTTGAGGCAGGTAGGATAACCCTGCTCGGAGGTTTCCAGCGTTTAAAATCTAGGCTCTGTGTGGAGCACACGGAGCATCCCCCTTGCCTGTGCATTCCCCAGCTGGGGAGCAGAGGTCAGGACAAGCACCAGTGTGCTTGGAAGAGATCATTTCTAGGGTTACATCAGGGGCACGTACAGCTACAATAGCCCATGGTGTCAGGGAGAGAGAAATCCTGTGCCACTGCAGCTCAGTTTGCACTCCAGTTTTCCAAGCCCACAAGCTGGGCTTGTGATCTCTCAGGCCCAACTACTGCTGAATTTGCTCCTTGGGACCATTCAACATACCTATAGTGGGGATTTTATTTGGAACCGGAGAGGAAACGTGATCCTTGTGCATTTGACGCCCTCTTGGATTGAGGGCTGGCTGAATTTTCAATCTCCCCTTGCAGGAGTTTCAGGAAGTGTTGCTTTGTTCCTGGTGATGCTCCATCAGAGCTGCTCTGAGGAGACGCTCTGGCTGACACGCAGCTCGAGTCCTGGCTCTTGACCCAGAAACATTCCTGCCAAATGCCTGGCCACTGAGTTCCTGCTCCCCAGCGCCAGCGACTTGCTCTTTGCAAGGTGGGGAACTGCTGGGGAAGGGAAGCATTTCATGAATCACAACTCCCACGTCTTTGCATACCCACTCATTCCCAACCAAAATACTTTCACTCTTACTCATACCAAATACCACCTTTTCTCCAGAATCTTTTCCATCTGTCCTGCAGGTTGCCATGCATAAAGAAAAGGACATGAGAGACTCTAGGACTTCTCTGAAAAGACAGGCAGCTGACCTGAAGCAGTAAATACGTGTGTGCCCGCATCAGGTACTCGAGTTACCTCAGTGACTTCTGTTCTCTCCTGTTCCCGCTGTCAACACCAACACAGGGGCGACAGCAGAAGGATGTCAGAGTTACCCATCAGCTTGCCTGTATCTTGCAGCTTGGCAAGAAGAAGTATCAATTTCTCAAGTGGGTGCCTGAGGAGCTTTCTCAGCTCTGATGGCTTCCTGTGGGACTGTGCTCATCTTTCATCGGATTTATGTTTGATAGTAAGCCAAAAAGGAGAATTACTTACACTTAGCTAGCGGCAGGGATTTGTTGCAGTGTGGCCTATTTTAAGCACCTAAAAGCATGTGTAAGACACTCTAAAATGGCTTGATTTTAGGTTTTGTGTGTGTTGTTGCCAGATAGGACCTGTTCAATCATTTGTCTGAACTCTTAGACAGTGGCAAAACTATACTCAGTGAAATAGATTGTACTGCTTGTACTCCTTGTGTGAGTGGTTAAAATCTGGGCTTCTTAAAGGCAGGACAGCTCTGAGAGGAAAGTCTCCTTGGCCTGCACAGAACTGGCTATCAGAAGTGAGACTGTCCAGCACAGCTTCTTCTGTGGCCCCTGGGGAAGTGAAGGGGATGAGTTGGGTGCTGTTGGTACTGCTGAGATTTGAGGGAGCAGCACAAGGTCCAGGGTGGAGGCAACGTGTGGAGACCCCAGTCTGGAAACACCAAGCCTGAAGCTGCAAAGGTGGATCTGAACCCTTCTGCTGGGGCAGACATGAAGCATATTCTGGCAATGTCAGGACATGGCACCAGTCTGAGCCGTGATGTTTCATGGGCTGGAAGCTCAGCCTCAGAAAACAGGGATTATCAAGACAGATACTCTGTTCTCTCTGTAAATATTTATGAGCTCACTGTGTAGAGAAGAGTCAGGTAATGGTGTTATTGGCATGGAGCATTTGAAGGACCTGGGTGTGAGTGTCAGGCAACACCTAAAGCTCTTGTGATTTTAGGATATTAGCAGAGCCTGGAAAGGAGAAGACTGTGATTTTCTTGCTGATATGAAATGGTGAAAGCAAACCACCCTATAATGGGAACATTAACCATGAAGGTACAGGTATTGATTGCCCTTATGTTGGAGTAGTAAGAGTGGTGTTCTTGCCACAGTCCTTCTCTTTCTTTTCCCATATCCGTGAAATAAGGGCAATCTCTTGCCTGTTCTTCTTCCTAGGTGTAATGGAAGGATATTTGTCCTGTACTTTGAGCTGGTGTTTGGATACCGTGTGATATGGATAGGCATTAACTGGCCAAATCCCACTAGGCTTATCTTGTCCTCAAAGAGATTCCCAGGGCTGAATCTCCTGGCTAAAATAAGTATTGCTCAGATATGAATAGGGCCCCTTCAGTTGGTTGATGAGGTTGAAGGTTGGCAACAGTGACTGCAGCTGGCTCATTCCTTGAGGAGGCAATGCCAGGCAGGACTTTGTCACTAAGTGACTGATACTATCACCTCCACCCTGCTCTCCTCCCTCAAGCTAAAGCTTTCCATGGAAAATTTAGCTGGGTTGGCTCTGGCTGAGGCTTCAGGCATAGAAACATTCTTGTGCTCCTGCTGCGTTCAGGTCTTTAATAAAGCACAGCCTTCTAGTGATTGATGGATGTGAAAAGTTGGCTTTTGCCCCCAAAATAGTGGTTACTATTTTCTTTATAGTCATGTCTGGCATGTTCAGGTTACAGAGAAGGGGTGACTCAGCTCTATCAACATCTGAACTGCCTTACAACATTGTCTGTCCCTTCATTAGGCACGTAAAGACTCGAGCAGACTCAAGGAGCTCAGTGCCTGCCATTAGCTGGGTTGAATCTTGGCCATGGTGAGAGGCAGCTTCTCTCTGACTCAGTGATAAACCACTCACAAGTTAGGCTGGCACTAAGGATTAGGAACATTTGTTTTGGAAATAAATTTGGCATTAGAAAACAAAGAGTCAAGATGCTTATTTTGTTGAGCACTGAGCTGCAGAGAATTTTCAGGATGTGGTTCTGACTTTTTCTCAGGCACAGAGTAGCATTTTATGTCCCTTACAGATTTATTCAATGAGATGAGTTACTCAGATTTTAAAGAGTTGGTTCAGCCAGAGACAGGTCTTCAAGAATGTGCAAGTTCATATCAGGTGTCTGTGTCAGAGCTAGAAATAAACCCCATGTCTCCAGTGACTTGGATGGAACTGTAAGGATGTTATAGAGGTGTTTTTCCTTGTGTTATATGAAAAGTTTAGGCTGGAGTGTCTGCCTTGGCAGATGCTGTTTTTCCTTTTCCAGGGAATGAGGGGCGATTCACTCCTTCCAGTGGTGATAAGAATTGCCTTTGTGTTCAAGTTCATAAACTGCAAGAGATGAAGCTGAACATTATGTACAGATTAGAAATATGGCTTTGCCCAGGAACTAAAGATGTAGGAAGGAGAGTCAGAGTCTTGGCAGCAGCCTGGAACATACAGTAAGTTCTTATGCTGGGTGTGGTATTAAAGCCATTTCTTATGGACATTGCAGGAAAGTCTTTGAGACTTGTCTTCCAGTGATTGCTGGAGGTTTTCTGGTAGCAGAGAATTGAACAGAGCCATGGGTGAATGATGCAGCTTTTGTCTAAACCAAACCAGCTTCTTTTTAGCCTTAAATCTCTGCTCTCCAAACTGAATGGGCTCCACTGCTCCAGGCAAAGTCATACACTTGAGTTAGGAAGCCTGAGGCACTCTGGGCTTTTTTATCTGGGAGACAGAGGCACAAACACACCCAGAACAAGCTATTTTGGCTTTTTTCTTTTCACTGTGTCGGGGTGGGGGAGAGTTTTTTAAATAGGAATGAGAAAGATGAGCTGTATCTCTTTTTCCATTTGGAATCTGACGGGGTAGAAATCACACCTCTAATAAAAAGAGAAAAGTATATTATTGGACCTGTTGAGGACATGAAAAATGTCTTACATTTCAGTCCATCTTCAACAGCCCAGCTTGGAAACAGAAATCTGTAGAAGAAAGAAACATTGTTTTAAATGAAACCATTTCAGGCTCTAAACTTGGAACTTTTCCCTTGAAAAATGTTACAGCAAAACATTTTGTGAAATTTGAAACTTAAAACTCATATGGAATCACTCTTCCCTATGAGCATTCTCATTTTCAGTGAGGTCTCTATTTGCTCCAGTGTTCTAGTGAAATATTTCTAAATAACTTATGCCCCTGACGGAAGTGTCTCTTCCCTGCATTCAAACCAACTGTTATTCAAAGGATATTTTCTGTGGAGGGAGAAGATATGTCAGGGTATGTTTGCAGTGGAGAGCACCTAAAGTTCAAAAACATATTCAGGTTGATGCTTGAGACTGAAGAGATCAACATGCTGAAGGCTCGGTGCTTTGTGGTTTTCCTTCTGGCTTTGAATATCTGGCTGTAAACATACCAGAGTTTGCTGATGGGCTTTGAATAGTCGGGTATCAGAACTCCATCAAACTTTCCCATCACTTATGCTCAGGTCTCCAAGGCACTTCAGGCCGGGGTGGGGAAAGGGTCCTGACTGGGGCAATTTGGAGCATTCTGAGTAGGTTTCTGTGGTGCCTGGTCCTCTTGGAAGGTGATTGGAGGATGATCTGGCTGGCTTCATTGGATCCCTAAATGGGTGGGATGTGATAATCTCCCTGTGAAATCCTGGCTTGCAGAAGTGAAGACCTTCCAGTACCTGAAAGGAACCTGCAAGAAAGACGGAGAGAGAATTTCTGAAAGGCATGGAGTGATAGAAAAAGGGGGAATGGCTTCAAACTCAGAGAGTAGGTTGAGATCAGGTATTAGGAAGTTCTTCTCTGCGAGGAGGGTGAGGCCCTGGCACAGGCTGCCCAGAGAAGCTGTGGCTGCCCCATCCCTGGAAGGGTTCAGGACCTGGGTTGGATGGGGCTTGGAGCAATCTGGGATAGCGGAATGTGTCCCTGGGCATGGCAGGGGGTGGGGAACAGGATGATCTTTAAGGTCCCCTCCAACCCAAACCATTCTGTGATTCCATGATGAGTTGACACCCAGGGTTTCACCTACAGTGACTGTGTGTGATATTCTCCAGCTGTTTTGGGGGCTCCAGTGTTAAAAGCAGAGCCACAAGGAAGGCGTTTGGCACTGGGTGACGTCATGGACTGTGATTCTGGAAAGGCTGCTACGTGCACAGGAAAGAATTTGATCTTGTACAAACAGGATAGCCATGTGCAGTTACGGGCAACTTCTGTGTTCTCTTTCCCAGGGAATATATACTGTTCAGCTGAGATCCATCCCTCTTGGTTTCACTTGCCAGCAGTTTTCAGCTGACATCGTGTTTGCACGAAGGCAGCACCACGTACGAACTGTGTTAACCATTTATTTTCCCCTCACTCTGATATTTCAATTTTATCATTTTCTGTTCCTCTCTGTCTGCAGTTTTATATAAAACACTTTCAGTAGAAGCATACCAGGGGCTTGTTTTTACTTGCCATTAGTTGAAGACAGTGTAAAACTACAAAAAATACAGGCAGAGAGAACAGGACTCTGAAAGAGGGTGCTGGGCATGGTGGGGCTCTGGTTCTTAAAAGTTTTAGACCAACCAGGCTGTTGCCATCTGCCTGACTTCCACCAGGTCACCATTGGGCAAGAGATAGAAGCAGGACCCTGTGTGACACGATGTATGCTGTGAGACAAATTTGGTCACACAGCAAAGGAGGTGACTAAAAATTCCCGATGGATTGTCTCTCGTGTCCCAGCAGCCAGGGAGGGATCAGTGCTCCGCACAGCCAGGAACATCTGGTGTCCCATGGCTTTCTGCTGAGCTGGTAACACAGTCCTGTCTGAGCACAGTGGGATGTCGATGGAAGCCTGCAGATCTCAGCTTGGGCAGGGCTAGATTAATTTGCCCAGGCTGTGTGTGAATGTCATTAGTCAGGTTCAAAAATGGCCAAGTTAGTGTGAAGCAGTAACAGGTGAAAACAGAAACTCTTCTACATTTAAGAGCATAAGCATGGCTCTGCTGGGTCAGATCTGGCATCTGGGCATCTTGTTCCTAGCATGGTCC